AGCAATCCCACTCCTGGGTATATACCCCAAAAATCTGAAAACATTTATCTATAAAGATATATGTATTCTGATGTTCATTGCAGCTTTATTTATGGTGGCAAAACACATGAAAATAACCAAAGTGTCCTTCGATAGATGACTGGATAAAGAAGATGTGGTACATTTATACACAATGGAATACTATTCTGCCATAAGAAAAGATGAAACAGTACCATTTTTGACAACCTAGATGGATCTTGAGATTATTATGCTAAACGAAATAAGTCAAATTGAAAAAGTCCAGAACCATATGACTTCATTGATATGTAGGACATAAAACTGAAAGCAACAAAAGAACATTACAAACAAATAAACAAAAACTCACAGACACAGACAATAGTTTAGTGGTTACCAGAGGGTAAGTGGGGAGGGTGGATAGAAGAGGGTAAAAGGGGTCAAAAAAGGGTAATGGAAGGAGAAATGACTCGGGATGGTGAACACACAATGTGACATATAGATAATGTATTACAGAATTGTACACTTGAAACTTATGTAGTTTTACTAACCATTGTCACCCTAATAAACTTAATTTAAAAAAACCCTGAGGCCAAGTGATGGTATGAATGAGAGAAGGTTCTCTCCTATGAAGAGCAGTGGTAGGGGCAGGTATTGGGCTGGATGGATGCAGCTCTAGGAATGGGCCAATGCTCAGCTCAATGGAGAAACCGACTTGGGGTGGGCCAGGGGTCCAAGGAAGATGGAGGTAAATTAATACACAAAAGGACAGAGCCCCCTCCCCCTTTCCTTATCTACAGTCACTCGAGTAGTAATCTGAATTTTCTCTCTTTTTTATGAGCCCCTGCCTGACCCAAATACATACATATACACACATATGGTTTTACATAAATACACATATAGCTTCCAGAAGTGGAGAGTAGGAAGTTATCACTCTTCCCTGAAAGACTCTTCTGTACAGCTTCTTCAGATAATATCACATGGTCAGTGTTAGAGCCCTTTACTTCCATCACTTCTTATGGGTGGAGTAAACAGAACTCCATTGTAATAGTGACTTCTTCTCCTCCTTTCTTGGGGGGAAAACCCTACAGGAAGTGAAGATTTCTCCAAAAAAAAAAAATATATATATATATATATATATATATATATATATATATATATATATATATATATTTAAGACAGCCACCCATTTAGGCAGCGTTTTAAATCCAGCATGAGTGCTCTACATTCCAGGTCACTCAGTCTTCTGGGGGAGCAAAAGGAAAAAAACTCAAATGCTAAAGTATCCAAAATGATCCCTTACCTCCGTGAACTTGAATAAATACTCTGTGCTATGCAGTGATAACACCCGCAGTCCTTCATTTTCCCTCTTGTTCAGGGAAGGGGCTCAGCTTCGAAGGATAATTGCTCAAAGATGTGTCCTTTTTAAAAGAAGTTTACTCCTCTGTTATAAAAACACCTTCCTATACTAGTCAATTAATGCTACATAACACATTACTGTTGACTCTCGAACAAGATGGGTTTGAACTGTGGGTCCACAAAAAATCTGTGTATAAATGGACCTGTGCTGTTCAAACCATATTACTCAAGAGTCAACTGTATTTTCAATCTGTACTTGGGAACCCATGGATGTGAGGGGCCAACTGTAGTTACACATGGATTTTCTGCTGCACAGGGGGTCACTGCCCCTAACCCCCATGTTGTTCAAGGATCAAGTGTACTCTAAAACTTAGCATTTTAAAACAACACATGTTTATTATCTCACAGTTTTGGTTGTGTGTGAGGAATCTGGGCACAGCTTAGCTGGGTCTTGTTTCATGTTCTCTAACAAGGATCCAATCACAGTATTAGCCTTGGGTCTGAAGTCTTATCTGAAGGCTTAACTGAGGAATGATCTACTTTGAAGCTCAGTCAGTTGTGGCAGCATTCATTTCCTCAAAGGTTGTTGGACTGAGGCCCCTTGCTCCTCACTGGCTATTGACTGGAGGCCTCCCTCTCTTCCTTGTAAGGTGGGCTTCTCCCAGCTTGCTCACCAAAGCACTCAAATCAAGAAGTGATAGAGGGCTGGCCGAGTGGTGCGTTGGTTAAGAGCTGGCTTGGGACGCCAGAGGGCCCCAGTTCGGATCCCACATATGAGGGCCAGTGACACTGCCCTCTACAGCTAAGATGCTGAACAACAGCTCAACCTGGAGCTGGGCTGCTGTGAGTCACCTGAGTCACCAGCGATGGCGTGGGCTGCAGCCCCTGTGGCAGTGGGTTGCCATGGGCTACGGTGTGTAGCCAGCAGCCAGCATGAGCGGCCATCCAGAAGCCGGCGACTGATCTGCCTCACCTGGGAAGAGCAGCGCAATGATAGTGCCAAATTGGGCCAGTGAAGCAACATCCTCCACAACTAGACTGAAGAACAAAACAACAGCAACTTGTCTGCTCCCCTTCCCCCAATTCCCCAGCGCTGTTCCCATCCCCCAATTACCCCCGAAAAACTCTTAGAAAAAAAAAGTGATAAAGTCCGCTAACAAGAGAGGATTCACGATCATTTGCAATCTAATTATGAAAGTGACAACCCATCATCTTAACTATATTCTATTGGTAAGAAGCAAGTCCATTCCACACTCAGGAAGAGAGGATTATAGAGAGATGTGCATTCCAAGAGGTGGGATCATTGGGGACCATCTTAGAGGCTGCCTATCACACAAATAATTAGAGAAAATTTAGAAAATGCAGAAAAATTAAAAGAACACTATCAATGTGACCAATAGTCAACCACCCACATATATATTGCTTCTTTTCTTTCTAGTCTTGGCTTCCTGCCTAAGCTTTTTAAAAAAGTTTAGTTATTATCATACTCTATCACAATGTAGTACTCCTTCAATTTCCTTAATAACAAAAGGATTGCTCCCACCGTCTCTGATTTGGCTGAGCCTATTGATGGAATTTAATTGGAGAGTGGAGGAATGAGGGGTTAGGGAGTAATGCTGATACTTTTAGCAAGGTCACTTTGTATAATGGGAACAAAGAAGCTGTGAAGTGAAAAAAAAAAAGAGTGTTCAAAGGAGTATGCCAAATCTTCTGAATCAGAAGTAAAGAATTATCAAATTTTTAAGAAATCTAATTTTAATCATGCTTTTGTATGGACTTCTATTTTTTTTTCATTATCTTAATTTGAGGAATGAGAAAGGATAAAATATGTCCACCTGTGTTTATGGATTTGCACAAAATATTATTATGAAATTTGTCCTTGTGGAAAAGAAAGGGAAACAGTAAACTGAATGTTTAGAGTTCAGATGACACATAGGTTTTGGCATAAAATAGAACAAGAATCAAAAAATAACTTTGTATATTGGTTAGCAAGATCTAGGCATAAAATAGAAAAAGAATAAAAAAAATAACTTTAAATATTGGTTAGCAAGATCTAAGAATCATTCAATGTATTAACTTTATTTCTCTTAAATGAGGTAAAACAGTTGTGGCAATAATAATTAGAATACCACTTCTGTCTGAGTAGATCTTTGGTGGAGAAAATACAGCACTGAGAGAGAAGAACCCATATCTCATGGGACTAGGTTAGGAGGTGGGACCAGTGATGAGCCAGCCCTGCAACATGATAAAAGGTCTGAGCCCAGCTCGTAGACTGAGGCTAAGAGTTTGGGATTCCAGCCACAGTGTTTGGATACTGCTGCATGGAGACTCAATGTTACTCTTTCATCTCTTCTCAGGACAGGAAGAGGGAAGACCACATAACTGAGTTGTGGTCCAAGAGAGTCCAATAATATCACATTTGGAATTCTCCATCCATCCCACGAAGAACTCCAGCTCATGAGATTATCCTCCCTTGGACTTTGGATGGGAGAATGATTCTGTTTCTTTTTTGTTCTCTAAGCCCAAATAAACTTGTTTTCATTGTTTGTAGGGGCCTGTTGTAAAGACTGTTCAGTTTGGCAGAAGTCTGTTTGTAGGAGCCTATTGTTAAGGCTGCTTAATATAGTAGAAGCCTATGTGTGGGTGGACCAGGAAGAATTAAATAAAGTATCTGCACCATACTCTTTCTAGTTCAGAGGTCAAGTACACAACAATCTATAGGAGAAACTTGGACTTTATCACAAAGACAAAAGAAACTGCTGTGCAAAAAATCTGCAATGTAAGCCAGTTGGACATTGACAGTAAAAATCAGCATAGGCTAATTTGTCCTTTAGCAATTTTAATAGGATCACCTAATAAAAGTTATAATTATAGAGCATTAAGTATATACTACTGATAGCACTAAATAGTAAAAACAATATAAAGAGTGTGGACAAAATGCTGTCTAGAGACAAACTCATGTCCTTTAATTGTTTTATTACTAAACAAGAATGGATAAAAAATAAAATAAACATTAATCTCACAAATGAAGAAAAAGATTATCATACTGTAAAAAAAACATATTTAAGATAAATGTGAACTTCTTACATAATTGTGAACTACTAAGGTAAATTCTTTCTCTCTGAAGCTCCTAACCACTGCTTAAAGAACCACTAGTATTAACGATATAAAAGTAAAACATCTCCCGAATACCACCAGACTTACATATGCCGTGACCTAGATGATTTGCTGTCTAATTTCGAGCATGTGTTCTTCTTTAGGAGAGATTGTCTGTCATATGGCATCCCTAATGTCTAATTCAGTGCCAGGCTGCTCAATGAAATTTTATGAAATGAACATTTGAATAAATATGTTCTAATGCCATATATTATTCAAACCATACATATCCTTGATTCAGTTTGCCAAATAAATGTTTTGTTAAATTTAATCCTGATTAGGATCTCTTCTCATGCTTCATTTTTCAGTACAGAGAATTCTCAAGATCTAAATGATAAAAGCGTATTTATCATGACTTAAGAACATTGTACTTTTCCTTATATCTAACTTTGACTAAGTCTCACATGTATTTCAGAAATATGAATAATGCCTTCATGCAATTCATATAAAGCACAGAAAAATAGGTATCATTGTTTCTGCTTTAATGACAGATTTTGAGGTTAAGGTGACTCATAAACAGCTGAGCAGCCAGTCAGGAGGAGAAACCAAAATAGAACGGAAACGCCTCCATTGCCACCCCCACGCTCCAACCTCCAGCACCCTCCTTCTTTGATGGAAGCGTGATGTGCCTGGGAGTGAACCGTGAAGTGCTTCCTGCAAGTTAATGAGCTGCGGAAGGAAGGATGGGCAATCCCTAGAGGTGATCAGCGAGCTCAGTTCACTCTCAATACAGTGGATAGATAAAAATGGAAACCTAGGAGAACTTAGAAAAGCAGTCCTTGAACACTGAGCTCCTTTTATTTGCAGGAGGATGACTCACTTACCTCTACTGAGTAATTTTCAGAAATCACCATCCAAGTAACCTAAACTGAATAATTTTTACATCCCAGAAAATGTAACCTTAAAAGGAAAACTACCTCGTGTGTTAGATGGGCACAGCTCAGAATGTTTTACTCTTTGAGGGGAAAAAAAATATTGTATTGAACGGGTTTCTCTGATTCTTTTATGTACACCAGAAAAGAGTAGTAAGTCACGCTTCTATAGCAGGCTATATACTTAAATTACTGTAAAACATAGTCAACACTAGACTACAGCAGGTGTTAGTCTTTGACTTGCAAACAAATTATTTTTGGAATTCTTCAGGAGTTTGAGAATATTCTTAGAATACTTAAGGAGCTGAAAGGTAATCTTTAAAACATGTTTAAAAAATATTAACAATCATCCTGTATCCACAGACAAAATGGCACTGAGTAGATGAATTTAAAATTGCGTCTGTAACATATTTGATAAAGTTAAGATGCACCTTTCCCCCTACCACCCAATTCAAATAATGATGTTATCCAATGCAAATACTAGTTTCCAGTAACTGAAGTCATTCCTTTCCCTACACCTCTGTAACTGGAGACACGCACGTTTATCTTACTTACTGAGGCTGCTTTCATAATGCCAGGGGGCTGGGTTCTAAAAGAAATTTTAAAACTATTTTCCTCTCCACCAAGTCCTTTGCTACAGTCCCATAGCTCACAGGAACTTACACTTCACGAATAGGAGAAACAGATAGTTATTAAAACTTTTGCTTAATTCACCCCAATTTTTTTATTGTTATTGCTGCCCACCCTCCACTCGCATTGTTATTTAGTCACCTCTTGCATCCATACATCATTGATCCTACTTGTTTGATTTTCTCTGCTGTGCTCTCAGTGCCTGTGGTTCTTTGTATTATCATTAACTTCACTACTTCTAGAATTTATGTTCTCCAGTGTCCAACCATCCTACCTCCTCTTGAAAAACAAACATGAATGCAAAGCAGTGGAGCCATTGGATATAAAGAGAGGTGCCTGTGAACGAGAGAAACACGTACAGAAAGTAAACCAGGCACGTTAAACTCACATTTGGCCATAAAGAACAGCCTGAGTCTGATAGAAGGACTTCAGCCAAAACAGAAGGTTCTTGTGGTGAGACGGCTGATACAGTCAGGCTGGAAACACCTCTCCACTCCTTCCTGTGGGCACCTGAATTCCACAGGATCGCAGATGGCAAGACTCACTGAATAATGGTTCCTTAGCGTTTTTTGTGTGCTAGTCAGGGGCCTCACATGTGGTGTGTGGTTCAGGACTCGATGATTTCAATTCTGAAAGCAAACTCAGATAAAATAGGGGGGGAAATGTTTCCCTGTTCATGCTGGACATCGTCCCATGAAAGCGAGGCAGTACAGTGGAGTAGTGATTTCTAGGGAGTGTTAGTAAAATGTGACACAATTCCTGTGTAATCTAGGCATTTCCATGGTCTCCAGTGGCTTCATCACGCTGTATATTTGATGTACACAAGAAGAGTCACTCTAAAGACACACATTTCCTCATCCAGTGAAAAAATTATATTTGGCCCATGGATTTGTTTTAAAGTCCCTGTATCTACACAAAGTTTGACAATAATTTACTTCTCTTGGAAGTTATGAGCTCTTTGTAAGTCATGAGAAATTTTAATGATGATATTTTAATTATAATTAAGGCAAGATCTAATAAAGTCATCTATATCTAGAGTAACTCCATTGCAAGAAACAGGTTCTTGGGGCCATTCTTTTGCTTCCTATTTTGTCCTGCAGAGCGTTGCCTAACCTAAATTTTTTGTTAGGCTAATACAACACAAACTAGGTATTCTCAATTCTGGCCACCTAAACGGGGAATTTGATGTAATGGCTGATGTGTCGGCAATGTTAGATGGAAGCCGACCTTCAGAATGAAATGTTCTCTGGAGTAATAAAGCTGTCACTGATCAACTTCTGAAAATTCTTACCCTGGCATCCATGAACCATGGAGAGAACCTTGGATGAGACTTAGAATATCCAGGGAATGCCTTAAAATTATATGCCAAGTAATGTTATAGCATTCCCAAAGGGTAGCATGACCCAAACCTGTTAAACTTAGCATCCAGAATTTTCTTATTTTATTTTTACCTTTTGTTGTTGTTGTTGTTTTCTCACCCATTTATTTTCCAGGGATGTGCTATTACTTTGCCATTGCCATTGCTCCTCCCGTTCAGTTCAGCCCACTCCCACAAGTGCTCACTTTCCATTCACTCGTTCATTCATTTATTCTTTCTTTCAGCTAATGTTTGCTAAGGTACAGGTCCTGAGTTGAGTGTTAGAGTAAGAATAGTGAAAGGCAAAAACAAGATTCATTGCTTCAGGAAGATGATGATCTAGTGAGGAAGATGGCCAAAACCAGTAAACAAATCAACAAGATAATTATCACAGATGGTGATGAATGAATAAAATACATAAGCTAATGAGCCTGAGTATAACTGGAGACTCCTTTACTTAGCATAGTCAGGATAGGTCTCTCTGAGAAGAAATCATTTGATTTAACACTAGAAGTATGACCTACAACTACCTTTGAGGAGGCTAACAGAAAATCACCCCAGGCAGAATAAATATTAACAACAAAAGCCTTGAGGAGAAAAACAATCTAGTGTATGTGAAGGACAGAACAAAGACCTGAAAAGTAATAGGTGATGGAAGAGGGTACTAGATGAAACTAGAGACAAAGGTGGAGGTCAGATCTTCTAGAATATTGTAAGCCATGTGAAAGAGTTTAGATTTATTTTCAAATCCAATGGGAACTCTTAAAGTTAGTTTTAATGAAGGGATTGATATGACCTAATGTACAGTTTTAGAAGATCAATCTCCCTGTTTTCTGTGTGGAAATGGACACAGGAAATGTTGACAGCAAAGCAAAGAAACCAGTGTGGAAGATATGGTAGTAATTTAAGGATGATGGGGCTGTGAAGAGGACAATGACAGTAAAGATAAAATGAATTAAATGGATTCTAGGCATTTTTTTTTAAGAGCTTACTTGTAGGGTAGACACTGGGCATGGTGGAAAGGTGGGTATCAAGGATTTTATCTTGAACACTTCTGAAATGGAGCAGAGAAAAGACAGAATCAATAAATTCTCTTAAATTTGAAATGTTACCCTGCATGCTCAGGGGTGAAACGAGGGATAGAGTTTCAGTCTGGTGAGTCATCAGCCTGCAGGTGGTCTTCTGTCCATAGATCTGGCTACTGCTATTTGTGAAGAAGACCAAGGACAGAGAGTGGACAGGTCAAATAGATTAAGATAAAGGGCCAGGATACTTTCTTGAGACACAAAGTGCTATGCATATTGCAATAAATAAGTGACTACTATATATGAATAGCATTGAATTTAACACTTAAACAGATGAACGGTACAGTATGTGGATTATATCCCTGTAAAGCTGTTATAAAAAAGAATAAGGAAGGCTAAGTGACTTGCCAGGGCAATCTCTATGATGTATTGTTATTTTATCTATTAATAAAGCTCTTAAAAAGCTTCTAGAATTATGTAAGAATCAGTATGGCCCAGAATCCTGAAAACAACCAGGTTCTTCTTTGAGCTCTTCTCTCTGGAACCTTGTAACATATCTAAGCAGGATATATTATCAAAAATTTAAGGGAAAAGTGGCCTTCAAATCTAGGCAGGATATGTTCCAGGGATTTTTACAGTGGGAATTTAACCTGATATCCTTGGGTGTGGAGGGAGGGGGATGTGTGAGGGGGAGGTCCATAGATGACCTAAGACTGCAGCCTTCTTAAAGCTGAATGTCAGTTGTGAATATATGGTTAGTGGAATTATTCTGGGAGGAGGCTCTTTTATCCATTTCAGAGGCATCTATTACTCCTGATACCTCAACCCCCTACAAAGAAAGAGGGAAGCTTAAACAATTTGACATGTAAAATGCAGAATATTTTCAAATACTGCTTCCTAGTTTATATTATGCATTTGGTTTCCCTGGCTGGGGGAAGAGGAGTGGAGCGAGGGCATGAAGGGGGACAGAGAGAGAAGTGAACAGTAATTTCGGGTTACTGAAAGGAGGAAGCAGTATTTCTTAAGGTGTAATCTAAATTAGATTCGGTAGATCAGGAAGAACTGATTGAATATGTTTGTTCTCTCTTCTTTTCCTGTAATCATTTTAGGACTTGAGTGTACGGTTTACAGGGATACGAATCAACTCTGATGAAGGAAGTGAAATGAGTGAGAAAGCCATACTTCATCTAAACACTGCAAATCAATGTTATCCGTCTTCACCCTCTCATTGAAGATGCCTGCTGCATGAATGATTCATGGTGAACCATCAACTCAGTACAGTCACTCTGCAAGAACACCAAGGGTTTGCTTACACATAATTACTCAGAACTGAGTAGGAGGAAATCCCTGTCTCGGATCATGGGAGATAATGGAATTCCAGCTAAGGATGCCTTGGCAAAGTAGAAGTACTTTCCCTTGGACCTTTGAAATCCTTAATGAGTTGAATCATGTCAAGTAACAAAATAAACAAGGATGAGAAACATCAGTTGGGTTTGGTCCAAAGTCTAGCCTGCTTAAGACTGGGCTTCCCCCATCATTGCTTAAACATTATACAGTTTTTCTATCAGCCAAGCCTGCGGTTTTAGTTCTTTTTTTTTTTTTTCTTAAATCAGATTTCAAAAGCCAGGCACTAGACAATGGTAATTAGTAGGC